AACTAGTTTCAATAGCTCTATAGTCGTTGGTTACAGTACTAATTGTTTTTTCAAAATTGAGGTCTAACTAGTTTCAATAGCTCTATAGTCGTTGGTTACAGTACTAATTATTTTTTCAAAATTGAGGTCTAACTAGTTTCAATAGCTCTATAGTCGTTGGTTACAGTACTAATTGTTTTTTCAAAATTGAGGTCTAACTAGTTTCAATAGCTCTATAGTCGTTGGTTACAGTACTAATTGTTTTTTCAAAATTGAGGTCTTACTAGTTTCAATAGCTCTATAGTCGTTGGTTACAGTACTAATTGTTTTTTCAAAATTGAGGTCTAACTAGTTTCAATAGCTCTATAGTCGTTGGTTACAGTACTAATTGTTTTTTCAAAATTGAGGTCTAACTAGTTTCAATAGCTCTATAGTCGTTGGTTACAGTACTAATTGTTTTTTCAAAATTGAGGTCTAACTAGTTTCAATAGCTCTATAGTCGTTGGTTACAGTACTAATTGTTTTTTCAAAATTGAGGTCTAACTAGTTTCAATAGCTCTATAGTCGTTGGTTACAGTACTAATTGTTTTTTCAAAATTGAGGTCTTACTAGTTTCAATAGCTCTATAGTCGTTGGTTACAGTACTAATTGTTTTTTCAAAATTGAGGTCTAACTAGTTTCAATAGCTCTATAGTCGTTGGTTACAGTACTAATTGTTTTTTCAAAATTGAGGTCTTACTAGTTTCAATAGCTCTATAGTCTTTGGTTACAGTACTAATTGTTTTTTCAAAATTGAGGTCTTACTAGTTTCAATAGCTCTATAGTCTTTGGTTACAGTACTAATTGTTTTTTCAAAATTGAGGTCTAACTTGTTTCAATAGCTCTATAGTCGTTGGTTACAGTACTAATTGTTTTTTTCAAAATTGAGGTCTAACTAGTTTCAATAGCTCTATAGTCGTTGGTTACAGTACTAATTGTTTTTTCAAAATTGAGGTCTAACTAGTTTCAATAGCTCTATAGTCGTTGGTTACAGTACTAATTGTTTTTTCAAAATTGAGGTCTAACTAGTTTCAATAGCTCTAGAGTCGTTGGTTACAGTACTAATTGTTTTTTCAAAATTGAGGTCTTACTAGTTTCAATAGCTCTATAGTCGTTGGTTACAGTACTAATTGTTTTTTCAAAATTGAGGTCTAACTAGTTTCAATAGCTCTATAGTCGTTGGTTACAGTACTAATTGTTTTTTCAAAATTGAGGTCTAACTAGTTTCAATAGCTCTATAGTCGTTGGTTACAGTACTAATTATTTTTTCAAAATTGAGGTCTAACTAGTTTCAATAGCTCTATAGTCGTTGGTTACAGTACTAATTGTTTTTTCAAAATTGAGGTCTAACTAGTTTCAATAGCTCTATAGTCGTTGGTTACAGTACTAATTGTTTTTTCAAAATTGAGGTCTTACTAGTTTCAATAGCTCTATAGTCGTTGGTTACAGTACTAATTATTTTTTCAAAATTGAGGTCTAACTAGTTTCAATAGCTCTATAGTCGTTGGTTACAGTACTAATTATTTTTTCAAAATTGAGGTCTAACTAGTTTCAATAGCTCTATAGTCGTTGGTTACAGTACTAATTGTTTTTTCAAAATTGAGGTCTAACTAGTTTCAATAGCTCTATAGTCGTTGGTTACAGTACTAATTGTTTTTTCAAAATTGAGGTCTAACTAGTTTCAATAGCTCTATAGTCGTTGGTTACAGTACTAATTGTTTTTTCAAAATTGAGGTCTAACTAGTTTCAATAGCTCTATAGTCGTTGGTTACAGTACTAATTGTTTTTTCAAAATTGAGGTCTTACTAGTTTCAATAGCTCTATAGTCGTTGGTTACAGTACTAATTGTTTTTTCAAAATTGAGGTCTTACTAGTTTCAATAGCTCTATAGTCGTTGGTTACAGTACTAATTGTTTTTTCAAAATTGAGGTCTTACTAGTTTCAATAGCTCTATAGTCGTTGGTTACAGTACTAATTGTTTTTTCAAAATTGAGGTCTAACTTGTTTCAATAGCTCTATAGTCGTTGGTTACAGTACTAATTGTTTTTTCAAAATTGAGGTCTAACTTGTTTCAATAGCTCTATAGTCGTTGGTTACAGTACTAATTGTTTTTTCAAAATTGAGGTCTAACTAGTTTCAATAGCTCTATAGTCGTTGGTTACAGTACTAATTGTTTTTTCAAAATTGAGGTCTAACTAGTTTCAATAGCTCTATAGTCGTTGGTTACAGTACTAATTGTTTTTTCAAAATTGAGGTCTAACTAGTTTCAATAGCTCTATAGTCGTTGGTTACAGTACTAATTGTTTTTTCAAAATTGAGGTCTAACTAGTTTCAATAGCTCTATAGTCGTTGGTTACAGTACTAATTGTTTTTTCAAAATTGAGGTCTAACTAGTTTCAATAGCTCTATAGTCGTTGGTTACAGTACTAATTGTTTTTTCAAAATTGAGGTCTTACTAGTTTCAATAGCTCTATAGTCGTTGGTTACAGTACTAATTGTTTTTTCAAAATTGAGGTCTAACTAGTTTCAATAGCTCTATAGTCGTTGGTTACAGTACTAATTGTTTTTTCAAAATTGAGGTCTAACTAGTTTCAATAGCTCTATAGTCGTTGGTTACAGTACTAATTATTTTTTCAAAATTGAGGTCTAACTAGTTTCAATAGCTCTATAGTCGTTGGTTACAGTACTAATTGTTTTTTCAAAATTGAGGTCTTACTAGTTTCAATAGCTCTATAGTCGTTGGTTACAGTACTAATTATTTTTTCAAAATTGAGGTCTAACTAGTTTCAATAGCTCTATAGTCGTTGGTTACAGTACTAATTGTTTTTTCAAAATTGAGGTCTAACTAGTTTCAATAGCTCTATAGTCGTTGGTTACAGTACTAATTGTTTTTTCAAAATTGAGGTCTAACTAGTTTCAATAGCTCTATAGTCGTTGGTTACAGTACTAATTGTTTTTTCAAAATTGAGGTCTAACTAGTTTCAATAGCTCTATAGTCGTTGGTTACAGTACTAATTGTTTTTTCAAAATTGAGGTCTAACTAGTTTCAATAGCTCTATAGTCGTTGGTTACAGTACTAATTGTTTTTTCAAAATTGAGGTCTAACTAGTTTCAATAGCTCTATAGTCGTTGGTTACAGTACTAATTGTTTTTTCAAAATTGAGGTCTAACTAGTTTCAATAGCTCTATAGTCGTTGGTTACAGTACTAATTGTTTTTTCAAAATTGAGGTCTTACTAGTTTCAATAGCTCTATAGTCGTTGGTTACAGTACTAATTATTTTTTCAAAATTGAGGTCTAACTAGTTTCAATAGCTCTATAGTCGTTGGTTACAGTACTAATTGTTTTTTCAAAATTGAGGTCTAACTAGTTTCAATAGCTCTATAGTCGTTGGTTACAGTACTAATTGTTTTTTCAAAATTGAGGTCTAACTAGTTTCAATAGCTCTATAGTCGTTGGTTACAGTACTAATTGTTTTTTCAAAATTGAGGTCTAACTAGTTTCAATAGCTCTATAGTCGTTGGTTACAGTACTAATTGTTTTTTCAAAATTGAGGTCTAACTAGTTTCAATAGCTCTATAGTCGTTGGTTACAGTACTAATTGTTTTTTCAAAATTGAGGTCTAACTAGTTTCAATAGCTCTATAGTCGTTGGTTACAGTACTAATTGTTTTTTCAAAATTGAGGTCTAACTAGTTTCAATAGCGCTATAGTCGTTGGTTACCCATGCTCGACCCTAACGAGAGCGGACACGCTGTCACTTTTAATGAGAAAAAAAACATGTGAATTATCCGATCGTACTAGTTTGTTTTTATCAGAGCCTCGTTTGTTGTTAAAATGCAACCTTCATTGATTTTAAAGTTAGAAATTCTTCAACCATATCTAAATGAATGCTGTTTCTAATTTTTTCTGATTCATCTTTAAAACCCTAAGAGACCATATGACAATTTATATTTCTTTTATATAGACATTGTATCAGTTACTCGGAGGTTGGCAACCCACCAAGAATAATTTTTGCAAAAGCCTCGGGTGAGGGGTGGAAGCGCAGCGAGGTCGATGACAAGCGTACCTCCAGCCGGAAGCTCGTAAACTCACAACGGAGTAAATGTCTTCTCCTAGCTACCCTAACAATATTGAAATTATGTTTCTGCAATAATATATATAATACCACAACTTTATATTTTCTATTATTAAAATTGATTTTTCATTAAATAAATCTTTTCTTATATTTCAAGTGCGTTCTATTAATTTAGATTTTATCCTTCAAGTAAAAATTTAGAATTAATCAAATTTATACGGAGTCTTTGTAAATACAAAGAGAGAAATTAATTTGAACCTGCGAATTTAAGGATTTGATCTATATCCCTGTGAATAGTCACCAGTGGGTTTTTATCGGTATTGCATTTTGGGTAAAAACCGCCTCCACTTTTTTCTCACGTGTAAATAACTTATTGACGAATTTTTTCCACACCGGGTACCAGTGTTTATAACATATTGACGTCATTTTCACACCGGGTCCCGGTGTTTTTAACTCCGTTCAAAATTAAATATATCAGGATAAAAAAAAAATAGTCTCCTAAATTATAAAAATTGAAAAAAAAATCAGTGGTTTCAAACTATTTTTTTGTATTTTTTTTAAGCAATTTAAGAGGCTCAAATTTACCAATATGAGACAAGGTTATCCATAAGTTATATTACTCAGCTATTTATTTTTATGTAAGTTTACGAGTTGTTTCCAGAATCCTTCATTTGGTTTTACACATGGCCTTTTGCTTTTCACAAGTTGCAATGCAGACGCAGGAGTCATGCCCATGCACAATATCAAATAACCTAAAACAATTGTAGGCCCTCTAGACACACCTGCATTGCAATGCACAAGCACCACACTCTTTTCATCTTTTAAAACTGTTTCAATAAATTCACCAGCAATTTCAACTGGGATTCTGATATCCGACTCAGGAAGGTCAAGCAAATCAATGAATTTGTGGCAAATATTCTCAACAGGCACCTTAATGTCGGGAACTCCTACGCTGACCACATGAGTCACCTTCAGGTCGAGTAGCAGGTTGATGTCCGCAACAACGTCCTGAGAACCGACCATCAGACCAGGGAGAACACATCCAACCTTTAATAACAACCAGTTCTTAGGTAAAATTTATTTTCTATAATTTGGAAAAAAACCTGAAGGTCAGGTTTGGTGTCGACAACAAATCCAGAACAAGTTTGACCCTCCTCAGTTAACACCCTATGTCCTTCTGCATCAACCCTCTCCAAAAAGACTCGTCCGTCACTTCGAGTCACTTTTGTCTCCGTCGCTTTCAACTTTTTCCGCCTCTCCTCCAACAACGCCTGATAAAAAAAATATTAATATTATTTATTTCCCAATTCACACAGTTGAAATTTACCTTCATCGTCGTTGAAAATCAGGTCTTCCGGATTGTACTCGACGTTTAGCAAGTAGAGACCGTGAGCAGGAACTAAATTGATACTTGGATTCCAACCGTACTTAGCTGGACAATCAATCATGCGCTGTACATCATCAACTGATAAATTGTTCCGGCCAACTGCGAGAATTACCGTCATAAAGCGTCTCACCTAAGAGAGTACAAATTTAGAAGAAAATTATTTAAAAAATTTGCATAATTTAGAAGCTAGATTTGTTTCATATAATAAATAGATTTTCCAGTTCATTTGATTATTGAAAAGATAAATTAATAGATTATTATCTTGCCTGCTTGTATAGAAATGACTGTCCGTTGCAGTACAATTCCCAAAAGTCCCAATAATCCACCGCTGGGTCAATCTCAGAATTGACCAAAGGCAATCCAGGTCGTAATTCTAGTTTGTTGATTTTCTTGACAGTGTCTTTGTCTATATTGTCTTCGGTTAGACCTCCGTGTCTGAAGGCAGCAAAATCATGGCAGCCCGTCAAGATTTTTGTTACTTGATGCGCCTGCTGCCAATCAATTACTGAATTGCTGAAATTAGAAGAAGTTTTTAGTAACAAGAACATTTTCATCAAATGATTTTCCTACTTAAAAAAGTAGCACCGTTTCCTCTCCAGAATTGGGAACGGTAAATGTTCAATTCCAGAGGTTTTCCTAGATGCTGAGATTTCCGAATTAAATTCAGGTTTCAACACTGCAAATCTGTACAGGTAAGTACGAGCTCGGGCATTGTGTCTGGCATGGAAATCCAGAGAAACTTGGCACAAGTTGCTCACTCTGAAATTAATTTACGTAAAATTATTAAACTTCAGTGAAAAAATAAATTTACCTGATATCACAATCAATCTTGTTGAAAAAGTTATTCAACTTGCTATTGAGTGTCTCAGTAGCACTGAGATGCGAGTGCCGCTTTTCACAGAAGTCGACTAAGAAGTGAGCACTCGATTTTAATGCATGCACTCCAGCATCTGTCCTAAAGGTTACAAATTTTTATTTAAATAAGATATTCTGGTGATGTAAAAATACCTGCTGGAAACGTAAACATCCAGTTTTCGTCCAAATGTCTTCGCCAGTGCCAATTCCAGAAGACCGGCCACTGAGGTTGAGTCAAAATCATAACCAATTTCATGGGCGTGTTTGGAAACTCCTCTGGAAAATTATTATTATTTCTTTTAAATTTCACAGTAAAATGAATACCTCACGCGTCAAAAAAATAGTTACTTAATTTCTTAGTCAATGTAATTTTGGTCATTATTATATAAAATGCGATAACGGCTCTTTTGTGCTTACCTGAAACTTGATCCAATGTAGGATAAATTAAAAAAATACTTTCTCAGCATTACTTCTATAGGTGATCGAAGTATTTCAACTTTTTCATTCAAAATTATTCCAGTTTTGACCAGTTTTCAATATAAATATGTAATCGCATCGCAAGAGTTGTCTTCAATTCGCCTTTCTGTTTTACTGTTTTGTTTGTTGGTTTTGTTTTTCCATTCCATGTGGTACAAGAAGGATTGTTGTGGACTTGACTGCACCCTGGTGGCGATAGTTCGTATTACATCTTTTTGAGGCGCGAAAGCAATGTGTGTGTTTAGAACGCATTAGATTTTTCATACTATTTTACTAATGCCTAATGCTCAATTTAGATCTGTAATTTGACTTTCCGTTCAAAGCGTTGGTGGTTTTCAAATTTAATTTTTAATTAGGAATCTAAAGAAAATCAAATTTATTCAAAATGTGTGGACGCATGGTGTGCAAACAATGGAATGACGCTCAACGCCAAAAATTGCGGACATTACGCTCGAACGAATCTTTCTCGTTGGTGTCCTTCGCATTGATGGATGTGTAAGTTTAATTATTAGAATGGCGGTCTTTTCATAGAAATCATAGATTACATAAAAGTAGGATTATTTAAGTTAAAGTTAGTTTGAAATTTTATTTTGTATAAAGAAAAGGAGCATCAAATACATTGTCTTATTAATTTTTTAGCCTTCTTAAAATAAATTGATAAGAAATTGGTAATTTTTTTTATATAATAATCATTTAATTTTTTTTTCCTTTTTAATATGTACACTTCCGAATTCATTTATTTAAAAAGGCATTATTTATTTTAATTTGACACACTCTTGGCAAGGGTCAACCAAATTGAATGAAATTTGGCCCATCATTTCGTTTCATGGTCCAGACAAATAGTTTAGAAGGATTTTGAAAAATTGTCAAAATTGCCTATTTTACAGGGGCTCAAAGTTGGCGATTTTGAAGAAAGGAGTTTTAAAAAATCGAAAATATCTCAGTGCCTGTTTGAGATAGCGCAAATGTTTCTATTATCAAACTTGTAGGAAATTAGACGTCCTACAACTCTGCCGTGGTAACCAAGGTCACAGGTCAAAGTTCAAGGTCACTTTTTCTGACCTCGGTTTTTAAGTCGATATCAAAGTACGACGGAAGTAAAATATTTTGATTTCAAAATAGCCAAAAGTTGCCTAATTAAGTTACCAACAACATGTTAAAAATGGCGGGACTTATTTTTTTCGTTTTCGAGATATTCAGGGTTAAAGGGTAAAAAACGTGGTTTTCCGAGCCTTTTTAATGCAAAAATAACTTTAAACGGCCATAACTTTTCTCCTGTTAGAGATAAGACAAAATGTGTAACGACAAAAATTGTTCCCCTTGACTTGTACTTTCCGATCATGTATCACACATAATGACCAGGTCAAAAAAGGTCAGATGTCACCGGGGTCATTGACTTTTTTGACCTGGTCACTATGTGTGATACATGATCGGAAAGTACAAGTCAAGGGGAACAATTTTTGTCGTTACACATTTTGTCCTATCTCTAACAGGAGAAAAGTTATGGCCGTTTAAAGTTGTTTTTGCATTAAAAAGGCTCGGAAAACCACGTTTTTTACCCTTTAACCCTGAATATCTCGAAAACGAAAAAAATAAGTCCCGCCATTTTTAACATGTTGTTGGTAACTTAATTAGGCAACTTTTGGCTATTTTGAAATCAAAATATTTTACTTCCGTCGTACTTTGATATCGACTTAAAAACCGAGGTCAGAAAAAGTGACCTTGAACTTTGACCTGTGACCTTGGTTACCACGGCAGAGTTGTAGGACGTCTAATTTCCTACAAGTTTGATAATAGAAACATTTGCGCTATCTCAAACAGGCACTGAGATATTTTCGATTTTTTAAAACTCCTTTCTTCAAAATCGCCAACTTTGAGCCCCTGTAAAATAGGCAATTTTGACAATTTTTCAAAATCCTTCTAAACTGTTTGTCTGGACCATGAAACGAAATGATGGGCCAAATTTCATTCAATTTGGTTGACCCTTGCCAAGAGTGTGTCAAATTAAAATAAATAATGCCAAAAAATATTTTCCTTTTTGATTTCTGAGTCTTGCCAATTTTACATCAGAATTAAAAATAATTTACAAAGCATCACTGTTATCCTCTGGGGCTGGAGCTCTGCCAGTAGGTCTGTTCTTTGGACTCGATCAGACTTCATCATAGTTTTGATGAATGTAAAGGATAACAAATAACAATCATCAAAATTAACAAAATTGAATAGTTATAGTGGTTATACTTAAATTTGGGTCTTCCAAAAGCTCAAAAAAGGCCACAAGATCTGACCCAAGAAAAAAAAATTAATATTTGAATTTTGAACCGCTTTTTGACAGAGGCGAGAAGCTTAAATTTAAATTATTTTTTTAAGACGCGAAAATTCTAGTTTGTTATAGAATATGATTGGAGGATCAATGGGAAATTATGCCAATCCACGAAGAATTTAAATAATAATAACTATAAAAGCGAGTAAATTTGTAAGTAAAAATAAGAAAAAAATATTAGAGCTTGTCACTTTTAATAAAGTACCTAGAAAGTTCTAATTAAATGTAACTCAAGCTGACAAGTTGATTTATTATTATTGTTTCTTTATCGTTTGAGCAGCCAATTAATTTCATGGATTATTTTACCAAAATAATAATAATTTTCAATGTTTTCACATTTCTTTACTGATCTTTTTACAAGCTCAAATCGACGAGATCCGCTTCTAGATGACAGCTTCTTTTTTAGGCACAAAACACAAGTTCCAGTATTTTTTGTTGCACGCGCCGTGTTTTTTGTGTTTTTCCTCGCCATTAATTTTTACATCAGGCAACTCTCCATCGTCATATTATGTACGCGCGACTCGGCGAAAAAGTCTCGCAGATTTAATTACATTAGAGGAGGAAAAAGAAGATTCCAAATGCGGACGCATGCGCGAGTGAGTGTCACAAACTCCGCGAGAGACCGGGCGCAGAAATAAATTTGTTCTCAGCAGCATCATCGCTGCAGCCGCAGTTCAGGTCTGCATCTGCAAGGTGTGTATTCCCCTGAGAAACAACTCGGAGCAGTGACTTCGTAAGATCGAGCAGACGTCGCTGAAGTCTTTGAAATTATTTTCAATGACTCTTTGAGGTTGGACCGTGACCGTCATTCAAGAAAATTCTCCACCCGGGCAATTTGCAATTTGGGTGAGATTTTTAACTTAACTTGAAACTATCCCCAGCTCTTGTAATTGAATCAGACAATTTTTAAAAGAAATTTGAAATTTAATATTTAGTTTTTCAAAAGAGTTTTAACGTGGATTCAGAAACTGAGCGAGAAAACCAATGCTCGGAAAATGAATTAAAATGTCCAAATTTCAACTTTTAATTCCGAGCATTGGTTTTCTCGCTCAGTTTCTGAATCCACGTTAAAACAGAAACTGGAAAACACTTAACAACGCAAACACGACACAACTCTACACTAAAATTTACAAAAAACAAACTCACACTAACAAAGTAGCAACAATATTTTATTATTTATTTCTAAAAATCAAACAATTATCTTTAAAAATACACGCCTTGAAATTTCAAGTTTTTGATTATTTTTTTCTGAAAATTAATTACAATAAAAACTTTTAAGAAGCTCTGCGATTCAACCATTTTTAAAGCTCACGTCAACAGATGGTCAGGTCTAAAATATTTTTCATTTTTGCCCTCGAGCTTTTGAAATGCTTGATCGTATTATTTTGACACAAAAAATCTCCCCATCACTGTATGTCTACCTGCGCCCATGGACGGTTCTTTCTCCTTTATTATATTATCCAAGAATGAGAAGAGAGCTTACATAATGATTCTCTGCAAGTACAGCGCTAAACATAAAAATACATACAGCAAAAAGTTTTACGCACATCTTGAGAAAGAATCTTTCTTATTGACCGCAGGCGTGATTCTCGGGAATTCACAGCTATTGCATGCGAAACGCGCACGACGATGTGTCCGAAACAATCATTTTATAATAAGCAGGTTCGACTGACTGACGAGATTCTCTGCAAGTTCACGTGCACGAAAGCTGTCAGTTTTGGTTAAAATAGAAAACAAACGAGCATCTCAGTAATAAATGATATTTGGTGCGCAGTGGATGAACTAAAAATAAAAATTTTGCAGCAAACATCTTTTTTATTTTTCTTCAAAAATTCTCAAATTAATTAGATTCGTAAAGCAAAAATCTTGTTTTTTTAAAAATTTGGAAAAAAAATTAAATAATTTGTCACATAAAAATCATAAAATTTTTTCGAACTTCCTGCTTGAATTGTTAGTATGTTAGTAGTATAAATAAAGTCTTGCACAAAACGGCTAAGCAACTTGCGACCTCTTTTTATTTGCCATTTTACTAATTATTCGCAACAAAAAAATCATTCTTTCCCTAAGTTATGCTTAGGAATTTGTAGGTACAACGCCCCGATTCTTCCACATAAAAACCGTGTAATCCTCCAGGCATTATACGCACCTAAAGCCAACTCCACCTTTTTCTCTCTTGTCTTATTATACGAGAGTGTGGAGCTCATATAATGCAAGTTATAATCGCAAAGCTATTATGGTGTTTGCACAACGCCTTGCTTGACAATAATTGGAGTGACGCAACCAGCGATGCATTAATTACCTGGCGAGCTTTCGCCGCAAAATTTTATTCGCGCAAAAAGATAAACCGATGTCGTGTGTTCTAAATAATATCACCTTTCGATACATTTTCGAGAATGTGACCTCGTTTATATATTCAAAATGAGATTTTGCACTTTTAGACTGCACGCCGGTTTAATTGCGAACCGATCGACGTCGGCCCGAAACGCGATTTTATTAATATATAAAATTTCTTATGGGCACGGCCGCCGCGATAAGCATCTTTGGCTTGAACTAGGTCATAATATATAGCGACGCGCGCACTAACTAAATTTGTCCTGCGGATATTAATAAACGACGATTTACGGACGGACGCCGTTAGGTTTTTAATTGCGTGCGTAAAATCTAGAGAAGATCCCGGACCTTGAATTTGTCTCCATATACCTTCCAGCGTCTTATATGAGCCAAACTTAAAAAATTTGAATGACGATGTTTAGCATGGGTTAAAATAATAAAGAGTGATAAAATCTTTGTTTTAAAATACGAAAAAAAAACAAACATATTTTTTACATCTCACTAAGC